CTGGGGGGTGACCGACTTCGTACACGGGTTAAAAGTTTATTTTTATGGTTTAGTAATTGCAGAGTTCTTATTTTGGGGGGAGGGAAAGGGGGATTCCCCCTTCCTTTTGGCCCTCCTCCCCTGCAGGCTTCTGTGTGCTGCTAAACGTATTTATTGTGATGCCTTGGTCAGGGCCCCCCTATCCCCCTCCTCGTGCTGTGTGGAGTGGACACCCTTGATCCCGAAGCGGGGAGGGCCGCTGTGGCCTTGGGGGGCTCTGCTGCCACCCTGTTCTCCCAAGCCTCTCTTTCCCTCCATCCCTCGCGCCCCGCCCCACGCTGTGCCCGCTAGCCCGCCTTGGTGTCTATGCAAGGCCGCTTGTCATTGCGGTGTTCCTACCCCCCCTCCCCCAGAAGCCCCTCCTTGTTCCTTGTGAACCTTGGTAATCCTAATAAAATTCTGAGCAAATTCAAAGTGCTGCTTCTAGTCTTTTGTCCCGCTTGGCGAGCCATCCCCAGGAGCCACTCTCTCTTCCACAGACCCTCAAATCGCTGTCTCCTCTATGCATTGGTCTGCAAGATGGTGGTGTGTGTGGGGGGTGGGGATGTTTGGCTTTCTCGGGGAGAGCTCTGCAGGCCGCAGAGGTGTTGCGTCAGACCAATGCGGACCATCCTGGCCAATGGCAGGGCGAGGCTGAGAAAGCCCCACCCCCTACCAGCGGCAGCAATGGACCCCGGCAGGTAGCAAACAGCTTCCCACGCCATCCCCTCTTGCGCAGGCGCACAGAAACGCCCTGCGCCCTAGAATATCCATTTGTTCAGTGATTCATCTTTTTATTTATCGTGCGTCAAACCTTTCCTAAGGCCTAGTGTGAGCTGGGCACGGGGAGCCATTGGAATCCATTTTTCTCATTTGCATGTAGTTTTTAAAAAATGATAATCTGTCAAGACATTACATCCTAATAATGCAGGAATGCTCTCCCGTTTTAGAGGGTGCAGGATTCCTGGAACTGGGCCTAGAAGAGAAGGCAAGAAAAGATGGCTCGAGCCAAAGAGTGCATAGAGAGAAGGGGAAAGCAGAGGGAAATTACTAGGTAGCTGTGTGATGGGGTGGGGGAGGGGTCGGGAGTTGGGTGTCTGAAAGGCAGAGCTTGGAAAGGCTTACTTGTTTTAGATTTTGGATAGATTAACTTTATTTCGGCGGACATCAGAAATACCTCCAGATTCTTTGTGGCTCATAATGATAACTTATACAAATATACAGGTTGGTCTTCTGCAATATACCTCCAGAATTTTCCATCCAACGCCCATGTTTTAATGGAAAGCGTCAGATACAGTCAGATTTCCGTTTCGGAGAATGCCCTCTGCTGGATGCCAGGAGAATGGATTGGAGGGAGGGAGAGCAGTGAGGCAATTGACGCTATCCTCAGGTGAGAATGGTGTAATGGGCGGATATGGGAGGTTTTTAAAGTACATTTTTTATTTTAAAAGTTTAAGATTTATAGAATTATTGCGAAGATAATACAGAGAGTACCCATATACCCCACAGCGAATTTCCTCCATTGTTAACATCTTGCATTAGCATGGTACATTTGTCACAATTAATGAACCAATATCAATACTATTAACTAAAGTCCATACTTTATTCAGATTGCCTTAGTTTTTAAGGTAATTTTTCTGTTACAGGATGCCATCCAGAATAGCATATTACATTTAGTTGTCATGTCCTCACAGGCTCCTCTTGGCTGTGACTGACTGTTTCTCAGACTTTCCTGGTTTTTGATAACCTAGAGTCATCAACATTTGAGCAATAATGGTCAGGTATTTTGTAGAATGTCCCTCAATTGGGATTTGTCTGATGTGCTTTCTCATGATTAGATTAGGGTTATGGGTTTGAGGAAGGAAGATCACAGAAGGAAAATGCCATCCTCATCATATCAAGGGTACATACTATCAATATGTCTTATCACGGTTGATGTTAACTCTGCTCACCTGGCTGAGGTAGTAGTGTATGTCAGGCTTCTCCACAGTAAAGTTACTCCGCCTCCCTGCCCCAGCCCCCTTTCCATACCATACTCTTTGGAAGGAAGCCACTAAGTGTAGCCCATGCTTAGGGAGTGGGGAGTTCAGCTCCATCTCCTTGAGGGGGAAGTATCTACATAAATTAATTGGAATTCTCCTGCACAAGAAACCTGTCTGTTCTGTGAGAGCTTTTTACATGCTGGAATCAATGGGCTTTAGATATGGGAAAAGAGGGGACTGAGAGGAGTCGAGGATGACTGCCAGGTTCTTGTGGGACCTTTGGCAAGGCCCCTTCCCTCCCTGGGCCAACTCTGAAATAGTTGGAACACCAGATCTTTGACCTACTCCATGATTCTGATAAATGTTTTCGGGGGGGGGAGCATGAAGGCTTTGATTCCTCTGGTTCTGACCTGGGACTGCACTGTCAGAGGTGGGTAGAGGAGACTCTAGCCTGGCCAGAGCTGAGAGTTCAGGATCCTGAGTCAAAGGCATCTTGTGGGGAGGGAAGAGATACCTACATGCACAATCAGGAGCTAGTCCCAATGACCAGCGGGTGAAGTAGAGGGGAAAACAGCAGGGGCAAAGGGCCTGGAGTGGGCCAGGGGAAGAGGTCAGCCTAGCGAAAGGATCCCAGCCAGTCTGAAAGAAAGACAGCTTGGGTATCCTTCCTTCAGTGTGCTCTGCCTCACAATGTGATTCCATCACCCTCGCTAGAGGGCCTGAGTTTTCCCATCTGCAAACTTAGGTTAATCTTCCTGGGGGATCAGCCCTGGAGAAGCAACCTGCCTAGGATCCCAAGATGGAGATGAGCCTTGAAGCAGACCTCTGAAGCCTGGCCCTCATCATGTCTTCCCTGATTCTTCTCTGCTCCCCTAATCAAATCCCCAACCCCTCATCCTGGCATTTGAGGCTCCTTTTCACTCACCTTGTCAGAGAAGGCATCTGGCTTCAGGGACACTGTTAGGAGCCAATTTTGGGATTCTAATATATTTGGCTAGGGTGCTCATGTTTTGGATTGAGGCATGGGAGGAGAAGGTGTTCTTTGCCTAGAGTGACATCTTTTTCCTGTGTCTTCACTCCTCAGTGTGTGGTGTGGTTTCAGGTCCTGCCCAGTCTGGGCCTCCAAAACCGAGGGCTGTTCTTGAAGGTCTTTAAGGTCACAACCAAGTACAAAATATAGTCTTTGCTGAAGACCAAAGAAGACAGCCCCCCCCCCCCCTTTGCTGGGGCCCTAAACAGAAACCAGAAGGAGAACCAGGTGGAGGATGAGGAATCAAGGGCCTGCTGTGCCCCAGGGTCTGTTCCCATGCTGAAGCTACTTGTCTTTGCATCCTTCACAGCTTACCCCACTCCTCTGCAGCAGAGGGCCCTGCACATGGGGATGAGGTTCTCAGGGACCAGGTTCTCCTGGGACCAAACTTTCAAAGTTCCACACACTTCTGTGAACAAAAGCAGATTGTCAGGGACAAAACCAGATTCAGGAATATCCCTCCTTCTCAGGTGACCAAGAGTGCCAGCACTGGCTTCCTTGGTTGAGGAGGAATCCTATTCATTCAGGAAAATTTATTGAACACCAATGTGTGTCTTATACTAAACTGGGTGATAAGGATACAATAAAGAAACATGATAAACCAGGTCTGTCTTCCTTCCCAGAGTTTGACAATTTGTGCCATAAACCTGTTTGGTGATCTGGTGAAGCCTATGGACCCTTCCTCAGAAAACAATATTTTTTAAATATATAAAATAAAGTACCTAGAGTTACAAAAGAAACTGATTATATTGAAATATAGTTATTAAAATATGGAAAAAGCAGATATGTGCTATGGTAGTATATGTGTTCCTCACTAATCCCTTAAATCATAAGATCTAGTGGAGGGTCTAATGACTATCATATTAAAATAGAGATGAGATTACATGATATTTCAACAGATCTACAACATCTATAATGTGATACGAAAATCTCTGTGATTTCTATTGGTGACAGAACCACAGATACTACTACTCTGTTACATTCTTTACTGAAAAAATGCTAAATTTCAATTAAAGATGTATACTTTTTCCCATCCAAATGCAGGGGCCCCTCCAAACCCTGTCCCCAGACCAGACTGGAGGTCCATCGACCCAATTAAGAACCCCTGATAATAGAAATGTCCTTCCCGTCTCTCCTTCCTTCTTAAATAGCTTTCCTTTGGAGGACAGAACTTGGGTTTTATTCAGGGTCTTATTGCTGTGTGACCTCAAGCCAATCAGTTTGCTTCTCTGGGCCATAGTTTCCTCAGTCTGAAACAATGAGAAAGGCAAGAAATTAAAAGGGGAGACCTAGACTATATATGCTCCAGGCAATTAGTTTGTGTACTCTCAATCCTCACAAAGGCATTGTTAGGAAGGATTTTTAAAAATTATCTTCCCATTTCACAGATGGTTAAACTAAGGCTCCTAGCGAGGTTGTCACTTGACCAATGTCTTAGCGGCAGGGGCTGGTGGGTGACTGGCTACACTCCCATAACCACCTCATCCTCCATGGGTGAAATTAGGAACTACGCTCATTTTGAGCGAAAGAAACCTGGCTCAGAAATCCCTGCAGGTGGGAGGTAGAGTCATGTCTCTTAGAGCGTGGGCTTACGCAAGGTGGCTTACGGAGAGTAAGACGTCAAGAAAGCCGGGCATTTACGATTGTTCAGTGACTCCCGCCCAGCCTACTTTGGGCTTCGCGTCTGCGTGTTGCCAACTAATTACCGAAGGCCTGTCAAACGGCCTGGTAAATGTCAACGACAAGTCCTCCTCTCCTGGCCAATCTTATGGAAGGGTGGGCTTGGCTCATAAACCAATCAAAGACCCCCAGGGGGGCGGAGTTTTCTTCGGCCTGGATCCCGGCCTGGGGGGTGGGGGGGTAAAACTAAAGTGTTTCCATCTCCAGCCAATCCCAGGAAAGGCAGGAGGGCACTCCTCCAATGGGAGCCCAAGAGCGGTCAGTAGCTGCGGAGGCCTGCTAACCCGCTAGCTCTCCAGCCGGCTGGAGGGACGCGTCCAGTGCGTTCACTACGTCCAGCCGCCGGCCCCCCTCGAATCTGCTCGCGCTCGGCAGCGGCGGCGCGGAGGGCAGGAGGTGTCTGGTGAGACGCTGTAAAGACGGGGGTGGGGGGTGTGAGGGAAAGAGGCCGGGCTGGAGCGCATGAGGGGTGGGGCCTGGGCGAGCTTTTACCTGGGCGGCCTCTTAACCCTAGGTCAGCGGGTTGCGGAGGATCGTGCGGGTAGCAAAGGGAGGGCGAGTGCCCCTGCAGCCGCAGGCAACAACCAGGTGAGTACCCTGCGGAGCCCATCACCCATGCCCACCCTTGTGTTTTGGGAAACGGTTCTGTGCAGGTCTGCAGCTCACGTGATCGTCTACGTGCCTGTAAATCTCCATCTCTCTGCCGCTCTTCTCCCTCTCCTTCTCCATCTTTCTGTGTGTCTCGATATTTCTGCCTGTCTCCTTCTCTGAGACATACTAGACAGCCCAGACCCAGAAGGCTGAACCCTGACGCTACCACTTAAAACTAGCCATGAGACCTTGAGCCATCTACATCACCTATGCCTCAGTTTCTTCATCTGTCAAATGGGAGTCTAATAATCTCCATCTGAGACAATACATGTATATCACTTTGCCCAGTGCCTGGCCCCTAGAAAATTTTCAATAAATGATGACTGTCGTGACTGAAAAAAAAATACATGATCTCTCTTGGTCTTTGGCTTTGTTTTCTCCCTGCCTGTCTCTGACCCTACCCCCATTGATTCTTCTTTCTGAATGCTTCTTTTTCTGTTACTTTTTTCATCTTTCTGTCTCTTTCCCATCTCTCTAAGCAGGTTAGACGTGCATTGTTTATAGCAATGAGTCTGGCCTGAGAGCATCTGTGAGCTTAGCGTGGGGCTCTGGACTGTTCTGTGGGTAAAAAACAAAAACAAACAAACAAACAAACAAAATGGAGCCTGGCTTTGGCTGAGGAAAGAACCCTATTTGTTCCCCACCCTACTGTGTTAAACAGGCAGAGACCTCCAGGGTGGGGGGCAACTTAGATGAAACAGTGAACCAGGCCCTTTATCCTTTATTATGCTGGTTACTGCAAGAAGACCAGGATTCTCCTAGTTACATCTCCACACAGCCCTCTTTTCTGTCCCCATCCTGAAATCCTTTAACCAGGCCTTCTGGAACTCACTGTCAGTCACCAGCAAAATCTCCATTCTCACCTTGGCTTTTGAATAGTTCCTTCGTTTTCTTGCCATGCCTTAGTGGTTCTCATACCTCTTGGACCCAACGCTCCATTTTTATAATTTCTATTTTGAAACGTCCCTTTCACTATCCTGAAATGAAGTGTATAGATAATAGAATCTGTCCCCACACATAATTCCTCCCAAACCAATGTAATGTAATGTCCTAATTGTAATATAAGGGAGAAGTAAAGGAAGAGTAATTTCTAATAAAACAATATGTATTTCAATATGTAAAGGCTGGGATATAATTTCACTAGAAGACATAATGAATGGTCTTGCACGTAATGATCCTTGTATCTGGGAATGTGACACTTACATGTGTGTTGATTGCTGACTCAGAAACCACGGGTAGGGTGATGTGATTTTCCGAGTCATGAATAATTCTTCATAAAGTTTTAAACAAAACCAAGTGCAATCCTCCCTCAATTTATATGGTTAATTTGAATTTCTGGGAAGTCAGTACATACTAAAATCCATGATCTGGCCCTCTTAACCTCTCTGACCTTCTCTCCTACCATTCTCCCCACTTGTTCCCTCTATTCTACCCACACTGCCCTCCTTTACGCTACTTGAACATATTAGGCACACTCCCACCTCAGGGGTTTGAATTGGGCCATCCCCTGGACCTGGAAGGAGTTTCCCCCCAATATATACAAGGCTCATGTCCTCACTTCCTTCAGGCCTCTACCCAGATGTCACTTTCTCAGTGAGGCCTACCCTGACCATCCTGTTTAAAATCGCAGCTCTCCCCTAGCATATACCCCAATTTTTTCCATAGTGCTCCTCACCCTCTTCTATGGTATATAATCTACACCTTTATTGTGTTTGTTATTGTTTGACTCTCCTGCTGGATTGTAAGCTCCAGAAGGGCAGAGATTTTTGTCTTTTTTGTACCTTGATGTATCCCTATTACCTAAAACAGTGCTTAGGATAGAATAGGCTCTTTCAATAAATGTTTGTTGAATGAATGAATGAAGAAATGAGTGAATGAAACGAACGGGTTTTTCACTTACATTGTTGTCTGGTGGGATGTTCTAAAGTTGTATGGAATGCAGTACAATTCTTTGCTGTGTGGAGCTGTCTTGTGCACTGCAGGATGCTGATCACCTCTGGTCCATGGCCACTAAATGTCACTAGTGATCTCCAATTATTGTGATAATCAAAAATGCCCCAAAACATCCCTTGACTGTCTACCCCCCTGCTGAGAACCACTGCTTGAATAGAAATTGGCTTTCTCCTGAGCACGCTGCTCCCCAGGAGCCCCCTCAAACCCTTCTTGCCAGGAGGCCAAGACATGAAGGTAGGTGTCCTCACTCTAATTGACCTTCCCAGACACTTTCTCTCTCTCCTCCTCAAACCACCTTTTTTTTTTAGAATTAAAAAAAGTTTTATTTTAAAATAATTTCAGATTTAAAACCCTCTAGAAATAGTACAAAGAATTCTCATATATCCTTCACTCAGATTCCTTAAGTATTAATAAATTATGCAACTACAGTTCAATTATCAAAATTAGGGAGTTAACATTGGTAAAATACTATTAATGAAAGTACAGAACTTATTCAGATTTTATCAGTTTTTCCACTAATATAAATTTTCTCTTCTGGGATCTAATTCAGGATCCCATATTGCATTTAGTGGTCATATCTCCTTAGACTCTTCCAATCTGGGACAGTTCTTTAGTCTTTCATGACTTTGATACTTTTGAAGAGTCCTGGCCAGCTATTTTATAGAATTTGGGTTTGTCTGATGTTTCCTTGTGATTATAGTTACATTATGTAATTTTGGCAAGAAGACCACAGAAGAGATGTGTCTTCAGTGCTTTACATCAGAAGGCACATGATGTCAGTTGGTCCAATACTGGTTTTGTTCACTTTGACTATTTGTTTAAGGTGGTGTCTGCCAGGTTTCTCCAGTATAGTTACTCTTTTTTCCTTTGTAATTAGTAAGTGATTTGTGGGGAGATACTTTAAGATTATGTACATATCAACCACCTTGTTTTTGGGGGGTTTTTTTGTTTTTTTTTTTTTTAGAGAGGGAGTTGGGGAGGGGCAGAGAGAGGGAGAGAGAACTCTAAGCAGGCTCCATGCCCAGAGTGGAGCCCAACACAGGGCTCGATCTCACAACCCTGAGATCATGACCTGAGCTGAAATCAAGCGTCAGACGCTCAACCGACTGAGCCACCTAGGCGCCCCACAACCACCTTGCTTTAAATTTCAAACCATCAGACTAGACCATTACCCACCCATCTGTGTTATAGTCAGGTATAGACGTATACACATACCTGCCCCCGTCATACTTCTTTCCTAGAATTTAGCTACTAGCTCACTGTCACTCTTTAACACTACCCCAGTCCCACTTCTTGGTGATTTTAATATCCTCATAGATGATCTTTCCAATGTTCTTGTCTCTCAGTTCTGTGATCTGCTTTCCTATAATGCTCTTGCCTTACAACCCCACCTCAACCACCCTCTCCAACAGTCTTACCCTTCTTCTTATCAGTACCTATGACTGCACCACCTCCATACTCTGTTTCAGGCATCCTGCCATCCAGCCAGTGCTTCTTATCCTTCTAGTCTACTCCCTCTAGCTCCCCAACTCCCAACAATCCCTCAACACCACCAAGACTGAACGTTTTCACTACCCTTTACTTCCTCCGTGTTCCCATGTCCTTCCTTTAATCATCTTAGATTCCATGGTCCATCATGATAATCATTCCTTTGCATACATCCTCACTTCCTTGGCCCTCTACACTTGAGCATGTTTATAGGGCAAAACCCTAGCCCTGGTTAAATTCAACTCTGCCCACCCCACTGCACTTCCCTAGGCCATTCACTCTCCTACGTTCCTAGCTGAACTGTTTTGTATCTTCTCTCTCCTCAAATCTCCTGATACCACTCCTTCCATCCTATGCTCAAGCTGCCTACTTGACTGAAGGATCAAAACCATCAGAAGATGGGCGCCTGGGTGGCTCAGTTGGTTAAGCGACTGCCTTCGGCTCGGGTCGTGATCCTGGAGTCCTGGGATGGAGTGCCGCATCGGGCTCCCTGCTCGGCGGGGAGTCGGCTTCTCCCTCTGACTCTCCCCCTCTCATGCTCTCTCTCTCTCAAATAAATAAATAAATCTTTAAAAAAAAAAAAAAACCAGAAGAAGAAAACCTGCATAGATTCCCATCACCACACACCTAACCACCAAACAGCATCTGTATCCGCATACTCTGCCTTCTTCTCTGTTATTATGGATAAACTGGCCCTGCTGTCATCGAAATCCAGTCCCTCTACTTTGGAACTAGACCCCATCCTCTTTTGCCTACTTGAAGACATTGCTTCAGCAATTTCCCCCTCTCTACAAGATCATTCCCATTAGCACACAGACATTCTGTTATTGTTCCCATCTTTTTGTTACAGCTTTATTGAGGTATATTTAACATCATAAAATTCAGCCTTTTAAAGGGTACTATTCAGTGTTTTTTTGTATATTCACAGAGTTGTGCAACCATCACTGCAATCAATTTTAGAACATTTTTATCCCCACCAAGAAAAGAAGCTTCATACTCATTAGCAGTCCCTCCCCACACCTCCCCTCCCCTCAGTCATAGGTAACCACTATTCTACTTTCTGTCTCTATCTATTGATTTCTCTAGTCTAGACATTGTATATAAACAAGATCGTATAATACATTGGTCTTTATGACTGACTTCTTTCATTTAGCATAATGGTTTTGAGGTTCATCCATGTTGTTGATGTAGCGTTCCTTTTTACTGCCAAATAATATTCCATTATATGGTTATGCAGCATTTTGTGTATCCTATCCATTTGTCAGTTGATGGACATTTCAGTTGTTTTCACATTTGATATTATGAATAATACTGCTCTGAACATTTGTGCACAAGTTTTTGCGTGGATGTGTGTTTTCTTTTCCCATTGGTAGACACCTAGGAAGTGAGAATTGCTTGGCCCTGTGGAAAATCCATGTTTAACTTTTTGAGGAACTGTTCACAGAAGTGGCTGTACCATTTTAAATTCCCATCAGCAATGTATGAGGGTTTCAATT